CAACTGAATTGTTTTTTGTTTACACTGGTGACTCTGGAGTCCTTACGGGTCTATTATGGGGCCCATCCTTCTTTCATCCCTTCATTACGTCGATGACAAACCGCTCTATCAACCAATCAAGTCCACAGACTCAACAAACCTCTCTGAACTGAACAACTGTCTAATAAACACCAAGAAATGGACATGAATGCAAATATTATTGACTTTCAACTCAGATAACAGAAATTCTTACTGTTGGTCCAGACAAGTTGTATCCAAGCATCACCATACTACACCAGGTTTAATGGCTCCACTTTAATTTTTGCATTTTAAGTTTATTCCAATTTATTCTTTACTCGAGATTCTTTGTTGAATTTTTCGTTTGTTTATTATGTGTTTTTTAGAAACTGTTTATCACTGGTTCTGATTAGTATTATACAAATAAAGTTTATCATCATCATAATCTACCAACAAAAGACGGGTGGAGCTAGCTAAACTTGCAGTCCACATGGAGTTGGCATCTTCTCACACTGTCGCAGCTTCGTCCCTCTGCAGGGCAATATGGTTGGCAAGTGAAGTTTGTTAGCAAGAAACTAGTTCCTACATGAAACTGCTGACAACAGAGTCTGGATTTTTTGCTTTTTTGTTTTGTTTTTGAGTAACCAGGTCATGATTCCTGAAAACAAGCATTTCTGGTTAGTTTCCGAATTTGTTTTTGGTTCCATAAGGTGGAAAAAGAGGCAGACATCGGTACAGCTGTGGCCAACTCACAGCAAAACAACCTAATTTCAGTTTGCAGCGTCATCGCCTGTTTGTTTTATCTTTTAACACCTGTGAAGGAAAAAGAAAGAAGCCGTCTCGCAATTAAGTGTTAATGGAAACATCTTCCAATTAATCAGCACTTAACACTTCACCCGCAGAAGATGATGATTATTATATTAAGGAAAAAATGAAAGCTTAGCCGGTCCCTCTCTGTCTCTTTGCGACGGCTGCTGGCTATTATGACCCTTCTTTCCACCCACAGTTAAGTACGGAGGATGAGCACCGCACACAGACGCAAACAGCCTCAGGGATAAACATCCGAGACGCTGCAGCGAGGGACACAGATGTTCCAGACTGCAGGGACCCTCGTCCTCTTGAGTGCTTACACTCGGGAAACAACAAGTGGCTGACGCAGATTGAGAACATGTCCCTAATTTTTAAAGAGAAATAGATCAAAGGGTGAAAAAAAGGCACTTAGTGGGCTTCATTTTGTTTCATATTTTTTTTAAAAGGGGAGTGGGGAACTAAACTATTTCCTGGTGATTGTTGTGGATGGCTCACAAATGCAAGTCATTTGTTTTTTGTGGTTTTCTACATTGAGGGTACATTTTTTCCTCTTTTTCTTTTTTTAAACTGCTCAGCTTCAATGTGTCACTGTCCTCACATTTTCAAGTAAATTCTCTTTAACGCCAGAAAACAAAAAGATGATCAGATTGGTACGAATATCGATCGTTGGTATTGGTATCGTAGCAAAGCTGAAAGGTTCGTTTTTTTGTGTTAGATAACACAACAAAATGAATTGTAGAAAGTAAACATCACAGTGATTTAGTGGTCATGAAATGTCTTCAGACTGATGATGATTCATCTCATGACACACTGCTCTCCCCTACATAAGCTGCCTTTATAGCTTAAAAATATTGGCATTGGCAATATAAGTCCTGTATCTCTCAGCACTGTGAAAAACATTAGGAAATCAGTTATTTGGGAGAAGAAAGGCACAGTTTGAGGCCCTGTTTTCGTGATCTCAAGCCTTTCACCCACAGCAAATGCCCTGCCAGCAAAGCCTGCCCACAACCTGGCAACACGTGGATGCAGCTGACACAGAGCACCTATTATCTGCATGAAACAGTACCTGGGTAAAAGCAGGGAGCTTTGATGCAGTTATCAGCACTTATATCTAAGTGCCATCATTGGCATAGGCATAGATTGTGGGTGGGGATGCTTGGAATAAAACCACAGAAAGAGGGGCTTTTATTTTGAAAAGTTATGGGGGAAAGTTTTGATCTGTGGGAAACCTGGTGCCTGATTTTATAGTGAAACATTTGCACAACGCAGAAATGGCAAAACTTGGTGCACGAAAATTCTCGTGAAATGCGGGAATTTACCAGTTTCATGTGTCTCACCTTCTCAGAGCTGATGCTCAGCTTCTTCTCCACGTGTCCGTGGATTTGCCCGTTAGTCTCTGGGATCGGCGTGGACTCTCTGGGCGTCTCTTCAGGTGTCTCCTCTGGTGTAGTCTCCTCAGGTGTCTCCTCCTGCTTCACCTCCTCCACCACCTCTTCTTCTTGCGGCTCATCTCCGTTTTCTGTCCCGTTCACTTCTCCATCCTCCTGCTTCTCCTCCACCACTACCTCGTCCTCCTCAGTCTTCTCCTCCTCCTCCTCCTCAGTCTTCTCCTCCTCCTCCTCCTCAGTCTTCTCCTCCTCCTCCTCCTCCTCCTCCTCCTTTTCCACCACTACCACCTCCTCCACTTCTTCCTCCTCGAAGGGTAGGGGGACCCCGTCGGTGACAAAAGCTTTCAGGCACTTCAAGTTGTGCTTCTTCAGCAGCTGCTCCGTGTCCGGGTCCACCACTATGAGCTCCAGCCAGCCCACGGTGGCTCGTATCCGGGACACGACCTGCTGGTGGCTCTCGTTCTCCACGTCCTCCCCGTTCACGTACACCAGCCGGTCGCCGGCACGGAGCCCGGAGGTCTCTGCCGGGCTGTCGGGCTCCACTAACCGGATGAACTGGCCCGTCTTACCTTTCTCCCCGTGGAGGTGAAAACCGTAGCCGTTGTCCCCCTTCTCCAGCGTGCACAGCCGGGGGCGCAGATACTGGCTTTTGCTCGGCATGTTCGGCTTCACTCGCATTCACGCTGCTGCTGCTGCTCAACCTGTTGCTGGTTCACTGTGGAAATAACTAGAAAGCCTCCTCAGGATGCTGCCGAGGAAGATTATGTGTGAATTAGAGGAACCCTCTTAAAAAATTAAAAAAACACCCACCCCCCGCCCTGCTGTGGAGACCAGTCCGTGAGAAACGCTGCTGCTTTGCTTCTTCCTAATGTGCTCTTTGCAGCGGAGGTGGTCTAAATCCTGAGCGAAGCCCCTGCTCCTGTGCGCACTGAAGGTCCTGACCCGGGGACTGGGCTGAGGCCGATTAAACTCAATCAGCAGACGCTCCCTTTCAGTGTTGCTGCACAAAACAAGTGGAAAAGCCACTCAGGAAGAGGGAGGTGCGTTCACTGAACGGCCCAGCTGGCAGCTTCATGCAAACTAGGGGCCAGTGGAGGAGCAAATACAAATCGAAGTGCGATGATTTCCGAAAAACAAGAAGAAGAAGAAGAAACAGTATTCGAGGAAAACAATACATATAAAAAACACACACAGAGTAATCCTGGGGATTTAAAAATCTGAATCAATTAATTCTTAGTTTTAGCTTTTACCTTTCTGAAGTCACAGGTAAAACATTTGTTTGTCATTAGCATATTCACGCCACACGCTGCTGTAGAAACAGTCATTCCACTAAGGTAGGGGTGGAGCCCATAAATTATGAACTTTTAACTGGATTTTCTTCAGTTTTACAGCTTTTGCTAAATTCATACTACATCAAAGTAATTAAGTAATAGAGGAACAATTAAATCACTGAAAAGTTCCTGTAGAAATTTGTTTGGTCATTGAGCAACTAAATTAATTTTTTCAACTTAATTTCTTTATTTTTTCCAAAGAATCATGCTGACACATTTAATTATTTTTAAATTTGCTTTTAAGTATTTCTATTTTTAATTATTTCTTTATTGTGTAGACAAATCAATACATACTGTTGAAATCACTTTTTTTTTCTTATATTAGGATATTTCAGGTATTGAATGTTCAGTTAAACTTCTTTACATTGAAGTAGAGGGAGTTTTACTGGTCTGACCCACTTAACATCACAGTGGGCTGTGTGTGGCCCACACTGAGATGAGTTTGATGTCCCTGCAGGATACCGTATACTGTTTTTAATGAGAGTGTTTGGGGGGTTGATAAAGACTTGCGACCTCAAATTAGTAACCAGACAAGACCTAGTTATGACTTTCTGACTCACCAGATCGGACTTAAGGGGACTTTCCTTTGGCAGACTCAAATAATGAAGTCTGCATATGTGCAGATAGTCCTAGAGAGCAAAGATTGCTCTAAATGCTCAGCTTCAAATATTTTGTTTCCTGCTTTTGTCTCTGTATGACGTCAAAGAGAGTGAATGTACTCCGTATGGTCATCTCATGCACACTGCTCTGTCTGTGAGCACAGATGCCCCACCCACCTGCTGTTTGCGAGGGGCAACCAATCCAAAGAAAGTTAAGTCATGCTAAAGTACCCGAGTGGAATCCAGTAAAAACAGGTGAAGCTGGAGATGACCGTGATTTAAATGATCAATGTGAACAAACTGGGCATTTTAGGAGCCCTGCATCGACTTTCAAGTACTCCTAAACTCCAACTTCTGGCTATGCGATCGTCTGTCAACAATAATCAGCATCAGTTTTCAACTCCACTGTCACCCCAAACTCATCTCAGAGATATGAGTGACATGGCGGTGAAAATAGATCCTGACAGGAAGCTGCTCGGCTAAAACCTCGGGCAGGATTTGACTTCTTAGCTGAGAATGCTGCCAGCCCTGATAAGAGGACAGACGCAGAAGCTCTCAGCAGTATGCTGACCACGTGCAGCAGTGGGTTCAAGTTGGTGATGGAAAGTCGCTCAAATAATGCACTTTTATTTCCACAAGAAAGGACCGAAAGCCTCAGTGGGTCTGCTAAGTGAGTCATACTGTAGATGGATGTGAGCCGCCTTCAGGTGTACAGTGAATCACGACTGTGTTCTTAAGTATTTCATGTCTTCTCGCATCACCCCAGTGCACTAGTCCATCTAACCTGTGCAACCACACAGATCCTGAGCATCCTTTCGCAAAAAGCTTGCCTACATACAGTAACATCATAAAACACACTCACAAATCCACAGTCATTAACATGTGTACAGTTATCTACCTGATTGATAAAACACTTTATTTTCTCTAGCTGTGCATGTTGGAGAATAAACAGGGCAGCTGCTGCCACACAGTGGCTCATTAACTGCAGCACATCTTGCCGTTTGTCAGCGACTCCCACTCAAGCACACACACACACACACACCCACACACACACACAGACACAGAAACGCAGACGAGCCAGACTTCAATAAAGCAGCAGCACGTACATTACAAAATATATTTTTTTTATAGATCGTATGACAACAAAGCACTTTTTCATGGCACTTTGTGATCACCGTGACAACCTCTCAAGAGAGGACAAATGTGACACAGAGCAAGTCTGACGAGCAAACGTTCATAATGAGCAAAGAACAGCGTACAAAGAAAAGTGATGCACAAATACAGCTTCGCTACAGGCTACACACACCGACATCCACCACCGAAGGGGACACGACAATAGCTGTGTGAGGGGGAGTGCTGTTGCTGTGTGTGAGTGGTGCATGTGGAGGGAACAGTGGAAATAATCCCACTGTCTATAGTTACACATACAGTACTCGGGATGGCGTGTCACTGGCCCTGAATTGAATGTACAGACAGACACAGAGTGGGTAAACGCCCTCCAAACGTTGGCTTTATTCTATCTAACAGCAGTACAGATGTGAACAGATGGGATCATTTTAGCTACAATCTCATCATGAGACTCAGACTCACTTAAAGATTTAAAAGACTGTAAGGCCAAAAAAGGATTCTGTTCACAGCCTGATATAACTGGGATTAAACAAGCTCAGAGTTGTGCAGCAATGAAATGCTATATCCACGCTGGCAATCGCCGGCACCAGCGGTTGTTTAACCTGTTCATTCGTCCCATCCCTGCAGATGGATATAGCGTTTCAGTCCGCAACTTCTGACTGGTAGCTTTGATACAACTGTCACCACAAAAAAACCCACAAATATCTCTACACGTGACATAAAAGGTAGAAATTCACATTTCAAATAGGGGATGGCAACCAATCCAGATTCACTTTCATTCAGCCGAAAGCTCGGTGGAGCGAAGACGAGGACGTCTGCTTCTCAGGTTTTGGAGCAGGGATTGGCTTTCATAAGAGAGACCAGCCTTTTTCTTTTCTTTTTTTTAAACTTTCCCTCCCTCCACATTTCTTTATCTGTATGTGTCTCTCGCTGCCAGATTATCAGCATCAGCTACGGGCCACAACAGCCAGTCTTGTGCTTCTGAGACTCGATGTAGTCGTGTATCTGGAACTTGGGCTCATTTGGCTGCTGCGTCGCTCTGTGCTTCAGCTCCCTGATAGAGAAAGAGAGAGATGCAGGAAGTTAGATGCAGAGGTGGCGGATGTGTGGGATGGAGCACAGACAGGCTGAGCAAATAAAGAATATGAGAAACGAAGAGAAACGTATCAGGATCTCCGTGTTCTGAGATTTTATCAGAATGCCTCAGGCGTGCTGTCATTTAATCTGACATCCACTTAAGACTGCCATCACATCAGCATTACAAATCACCGGCATTAGTTTCATTTGCAGGTCTGGAAGCACACGTTATAAGCCGTCATTGCAGACTTCATGTGAACCTTTTGTAGATTTGCTTCCAGTCAGTAACTCATTAAAATACAGCAATCACACACTTATTATTTAGAGTCCAGAGGAAGCCTGACATGCAAAAAGTCTCATACTAATAATAATTATAGACAACAGGAGCAAACAACAAACTAAACAAAACCCAGTGGTTTGCAGTAGTTGAAGAGGAAGGCTTGATTGCATCAATTTAAAGTCTGAGACAGAGAAGAAAAAAAACAACAACCACATAACCGAGAGGAGAACATCAGAGTAAACAACAGAGGTCAGGCGTATGCATGGAGCGGATAACAACCCTCATGTGAAATCTCACCGTTCATTATTCCACAAGCATGACCCGAGCTGAAGAGAATTCATTAGTTTGTTACCTTTGTGGACCGAGCACAAAAACATGCAGAATTTAGTGCAATTTATATTCAGTTCGTACTGCAAAGGGTTCTGTCTTTAAAAGGAGAATAGCTTTTGAAGTCTAACATACGAGATGTCATCAGCGATGATTTACCCTGCGACTTCATTTTTTATTCAGAAAAGAGAAGTAAGCCAAATGTTGATTGTGTTTGCAAGGCCAGCATTGGTCGTCCAGCTTTCATGGCCACTAATGATCCTCAACATCAAATCTGGGCCTGTTTTCTTTGTTTTCTTCTCTTTTCTTAGTTTTTGCAAGTTTGAGGTCGGTGGTGAAATTGACAAATAGGCTACTTCCAGGCAAGTGGTGGAAGTGGTGCAGAGGCACACAAGAAGGGGTATAGTTGCAAAATTTAAAGGTATAGTGTGTAAAATCTCACCACTAGATTTCAGTAAGTTCCAGATTGCAGTCAATTGAAGTCTGTTTTCTTACCCCTTCCAATTAAGTGCATATTCCTAGCTACGGTGGCCCCTGTGGGACAAACACCTCTGGCTGGTGTTTATCTGTAGTGAGTGTGTTTACCTCAGGTGTCAATATGCTGGGTGTCCACGTGCATTTACTCTAATAGCTGTAAAACTTTGTGAAAGGGGTCTGATGCAAGCGAGTGAGTCACTAAAGCTCACTGCTGTCTGATGACAGCAATACTGAGGTGAGTTTTTGAGGATATCCTGAACTTTTCTGTCTGTAGGCGTTTCTGTTAGCTGCTGTTAGCGAAACAGTCTTCGAAGTGGATCTAACAGTGTCGGCTTTGGACACCCTGACAGACGTTACACATTAATCAGTGTATATTTATGAATACAACATTCTCTTTGTTCCATTAAATAAGCTAAAAAATGACTCATTTTTTTATTTAGGTAATCAAAAGTGTTATCTACAGACTCCCCACATGGCAAAATGAATGAAACAGTTATGAGACCCAGAAATAAAATGTATGACTGATAAACTATAGCTACAAAAGTAAAAACTTTACAATAACTAGATCTACCTTTTTTGCTGATATGTATATTCTGTGCAGTGTCTTTTTAGTTTACTTTTTAGACTGAGTACAAGGTCGTTTTTTAAATAAACCTTTAGTCCATTCTGAGATCAGAATACAACACTAAATACACTACAAGGCTAAAAGTGTATTGATGCTCAGATATCCTACCCATATGTGGCCATTAAAGATGTTATTCTAAAACTATGGACATTAATAAGCTATTACATGAGCATAGACTCTTCTGGGAATTGATCCCATTAGAGTTTATAAACTGGCTCAAATTCAGCCACAAATACCACTGTAGTCTATGATCCAGTTTATCCCAAAGCGACTGGATGAGGTTATGGTTAAACTCACCCCACAACGGCAGCATATTGTTTAAAAAATTAAATGTTGTGGGATTTCTTTTTCCCATATTGCAACCACCCTGTTCCAAAAAAGACAAAGAGCAGCAGACCAAAAGTATTCAAAGCATGCATCTCATGCTCATAACTGCAACAGAACTCTGACTTGGTATGTCCAAAACTCCCCATCACCCATTTAATTTATTTGTTGGCTTTGCATTATTTTCTTCTTGGGTTAGGGTTAGTGATCAGTGATTATTTTAGTCAGATTATATTTTTCTTTTAACTGGAAATTAGGTGGAGTTTAGGCTTTTTTACGCATAGTGGGGGAAAATAAAACACAATTATAATATTAACATTAGCATTCGATCATACATCTCTTAAACCTGCATTATTTGCTCCTTTTAAGACTTGAGGATAGCCCGAAAAATTTAAAAAAGAATAACATAATTACCCTACTATGCTACCATGGCAACAAAACTGCCTGTTATCACATTAGGCAGACATATTGGTGCTTTACCTGGTAAGATGATGCTATGTGCATGCTGACAGCCAACTAAATCTTCAAAGCCACATTCTATAAAACCAAAAATTATCAGCTGACCTACACCGAAGTGGGTTCTTCGCTTCAGTCAACTAATTTCCATTACATAATGTAATATCATCCATTGTGTACACATAGGTATTGATTACAGGAGGTTTAAAACTTACTTTCCTATAGCTTGAAAAGCCAGGTCCACATTGACTCCGGTCTTGGCACTGGTCTCCATGAATGGTACTCCATATTCCTGAGATGGAAAAAACATTAGAAGAGTAAAGACTCTCCTCTGCTGTGGAGAACATAACCACTTGAAAATGTCACGCATTACCTTGGCCAGCTTCTCCCCGTCCTCCGTCTTCACGACCCTCTCTGCAGCCATGTCTGACTGTAAGACAGCAAACGGAAAAACAAGTCATCACAGTGTAGGTGACGGGTCACAGATTCACCATGCCATCCGCTACATCTCGTCAGCCGGCACGTCCTGTCTCTTATCTGGCAGCCGGGCCGCCAGCTGGTGAGCCAGATCTCCTTCAGACTGGTGAAATGTCAGAATCTCCACCTCCAGCAGAAGACCGATGCCACCAGTCCCGCTGCTTTCACAGCAAACAATCTGAGCTGCTGCTACGTGACATCTAAGACCCTTGAGACGAGTGAGTTTTCTCTGAGCCACCAGAGGGAGCTTTTAGATATATTAGCAATGACTGCTGTTGCAGTGAGACAGGAAAATGTCTCTTTTCATCACCAGAAGCGCTTTGCAGGAAATATTCAATGCATCGGCCGCTTGAAGCAAAGCAACAGCAGTTTAGTGAGGCACTGTTTTTGGATGAATGTATCCTTAATAGTCATGATGATGGAATAACACCGGATGATGGATGAAAGCGACAAATTTGAAAACAGGCCGTCTCTGTGTGCACAAGTGTGCACATTAAAAGCACACAAATCAGAGGAGACACACAGCAACACGATCAGGACATCAATTTGTGCGCTTGTAAACGTTATGTTAAGAGATTAAGAGTTTGCATTCGTGCATGTGTGACAAAATGTGACAACGGCGTGTTAAAATTGTGCAAAGGACTTGTTATGCTCCTAATCTTTTATGTAACACTAAACGGAAGCTATGCTCACCTTGTTGCCGAGCAACATGATGACCACATCCTTCTGGGCATGCTCGTGTATTTCAGTCAGCCAAGCCTTCAAAAGTAGAAAAGATAGACAGTCAGAGGAGGAGGAGGATATTGGTCAATTAAAAAAAAAAAAAAAGCAAACACCACCAGATGAAGCAAGCGCTCTGCTGTTCCTCCTGAGCAGTGCGTTATTACCACCCTCCAATCAATCATGGCGTCACTGAGTCACTCTTGTCCTTGAATGTTTTTATTGCTTTTCATTATTGAAACTGTGTAACCAAGCAAATGATAACATCTTGTCATTCTAAAGAGAGAAGACGCTACGGGCCCCCGCAGTACTTTGCATGTAAATAGAGTTTAACGTTCAGCTTGAGGGGGCTTGGGAGCAGGAAGTGAAAATAAACACAGAGCAGAGAGGAGCAATGAGAGGCAGAGGCAGCGAAAGCACAAGGGGGAAAGTAATCTGAGAAAGTCTTACCCTGATGTTGTCAAATGATGGCTTGCTGGTGATATCATAAAGCAGGAGTAACGCTGTGAGAAAGGAAACATTTAAAAAAGGGCTACTCTTTCATAGATGAACACACACACTGCTTTGCTTCATTACCTACTCTAGACCTTCCCCCAAACGGAGAGCATGAGGAAGTAAAATACATAAAAATGCAAAGGTTACCTTGGGCATCTCTGTAGTAGGCGTGCGTTACACTGCGGAATCTCTCTTGGCCGGCTGTATCCCAGATCTGGGTAACAAAGCACACAGATACATGGTATGCAAACACTGGTGTGCATCCTGATCCACCCTCACGAAATACAAGACAGCTTGTTGTCAGCAGCACCCACTGCGAGCGATAATACCTCTCCACAAAGCTCTAACGCAGTAAAGCGTGAAGATTTGATTCAAATCCAGAATCTGAGTAGTTGAAGTTAGAAGTTAAAGCTTGCTGATAAAGCTAAACTTTGTATTTTTGTAGCTTTTTGCTCACTGGTCACTTCATTAGGTACACCTTGCTATTACCGGATTGGACCCTCAGATCTGCCTCAATTCATGAAGGTGCTGCAAATATTCCTCAGAAGTTTGGATTCATGTTGACATGATAGCATCACACAGTTGCTGCAGATTTGTCGGCTGCATGTCATTGATGTGAGTCTCCCCTTCCACCACATCCCAAAGGTGCTCGGTTGGATTGAGATCTGGTGACTGTGGAGGCCGCTGCACTACAGTCCAGCCCATCTGGCACCAACAAACATACCACGTTCAAAGTCACTTTTAATCATCTATCTTCCACATTCTGATGCTCGATTTGAGCATGTCGCCCTAACAAACTCTACATGCCTAAATGTTGCTGCCATGTGATTGGATGATTACATATTTGCGTTACAAGAGCAGCTGAACAGGTGTACCTAATGAAGCGGCCCGGGAGTATAATTATAATAAATGACCAGCTTGGCCATTTAGCTCATTGTCTTGCAAAATTACTGGCTCTAGTAGAGAAACTGCTAAATTAGTTGGCCTAGAGTAGCAGCTGTTTTCTTGAATACATCCTTAAATAAATCCTGCATTTTTACTATATTTGACTATATTCTAGGCATTTCTCAGCATTTAGTTCAATATCAAATGAAATTAATTTAGTTGTTTGTATATAGACATGTGGTGTTTCTGTTAATTCAGCATGTTGGCAGGTTGTAGGGCTGCTTCTGAACTTCCTGAGCCACTATGTAGATTAACATACAATATTAAGCTATATGCTTTTTTAAAAAACCCCAGTGTTTCCAAAACACAAATCAAATAGCGAAGCAAGTCACGCTAAACAAATGATTTGTAATGTCAAATAAATGGTATGAGGAAATGTTGAATACATCCTATCCACCTGCTGCAATTCATCCAGCCCCTTTGAAGTCTCTGAACCTTTCTGAGACTTTAGATTTTTTGCTGTAACTCATTACATCTATTTTGGGATTAATCACAGGATTTTTTCCCCCTAATGTATAATGCTTGCAAAAGAAGAGAGGCTAAGATAGCAGAGGCGTCTAAATCTGTTGCCTCCCACTCAGTGTTGAATGAACAGGTCATAATGATAGACTGCCATGTTTTGGGGGACTGTGTGCCAACAGCATGCTGCCGGAATAAAACCCCAAATCCCTTTTTACTAACACAATATCTTTAACAGTGGTTAAAATCACAGATTTCATTTAAATGGAGAAATCACTTTTTCTTTTCCAGGTAATTTTGGATTCTCTATCATCTCCCACCCTGGATGAACTGAGGTGAACCTAAAGCTGAGGCCATTAAAGCTGCTTGAGGGATGAAAGAGGAGCTGTCATGCAATGAGGTGAAATGCAGGCAGACATCGACAAGGTGCAACGCTCTCACCTGTAGCTTGACTTTCAGGTTGTCGACATCCACCACTTTATTCTAAGAAAACAAGGAGAGTCTGCGTGAGACAAGTCACCATATGTTTAGAGACTGGAGTGCTGCGGAAATGGCACAGAAATGAATGACGAACATCACAGCGGACCAAAAAAGCTCATGGACTCAGCGTGTGACAAAAAGAAACAAGGCGACTAAAAGTGGATTTGAATGCTGGCAGGGAAAGTAATTTGCAACACCCACACAACAGCGAGGTCTTTGGGATAAGAGACTTAATTACACAACAGTGAGAAAGAGGACTGGCAGCAGAACAACGGACTCCCCCGTTAATTTCCTGCCGCCCTGTAGGGGTGCCCTCTGATTTCCTGTTTTTAAAAAAGAAAAGAAAAGATCTGTCTAAAATAGTTTAGGCAACCCGGCTAAAAAAAATAGTGCTGTGATTAAGATGCTGCAAATTTTGGTACTGATCCGATAACGAGTAAATACAGGGCCATTATTGCAGATACCAGTTCCAGTATCGATACTTTTAACCCATAAAGACAGGAGGTGAGAGCAGCGTGTCATGATTTATGACATCAGTCTGGGAACACATTTTAATGAACGCTAATGAGTTTTGTTTTCCACAATAATAGATTGATACAACAAAACACACATTTTACACTTTCATCTATGTGAAACCTGTGAATATAGTGCATGCTTGAAGTTGGAGGTTTTATTTATATATAT